ACAAACAGCTGATTTGACCTGGCAGCATTTCTCTTATTCATGAAGAACAAACCAGATGCAAAAATGTATAAAAATATCTTTAATGTGTCAAAAAGTAAAAAAAAACAAAAACAAATAAATTATAATTGGCGTTATATCATAGTGTATATTATAATCAAACATAACCATAAAAAGCACTGCAATCAAGAGACACGGAGAAGAAAAAAGTCAACTTCCCCCACAGGCAGTAGAGAAATAATAGAGTCACTGTTCAGTCACTTTGTTTCGCTTAAACGCCAGATATCAAAGTTTAGTCCCAGAAAAGTACAAACGTGTTTGTTCTTCCATGCATTTGAAAAAAGAAACTTGTCTTTGAAAGTTATCATACAAATATAACTGACGCAGAGGACACACTCAATATGCATGCTTTGGATAGTGCATATCTTTATGAAGCTTCACGAAAAGCATTCCATTTTGTCACAAGGGTCGACAATCCCATTCAAAGTAACGATTGACCAGATGCATTCAACCATAGGCTATAAATAAAGATGTAAGACGTGTCTATACTTCCTCAGTCTATCCAGAATCAAAGCCAAAATATTCTGGAAACGAGCGCTGCCATCTTTTGCGCATTTGGAATCCGCGCAGCTGCAACCGAGGGAATGATCCACGGTTTCTCCAAAACATGTGCTTGACCAATCACAAGTCAGTCTTAGCTGGTTTTAATTATCAGTATTATAACAACTAACTAAAATGTCAGAAACCATCTTTTTGAAAAACTTTTTTGTGTTTCTGTTCCCCTTCATTAACAGGAGGGATTTTTGACCTATACTGCAGCCAGCCACCAGGAGGCAATCAAAACGCTTTGGCTTCACTTTTGGAGAGCCGTCGTCTCATCCATCTTTATATACCGTCTATGTATTCAACTTATAGACAACTAATAAATCATAAATGTGTGTATTTACATTAGTGGATCAGTTGTTTTATGCATAAATTCTATTGCATGGATTTCATACACACACACGAACACACACACACTTTGGTCCAATTTCACTGCAGCTCCTCATCACTGTCGTCCACTTGCTGAATAATGAGGTCGGCACCCGAGTCCTCAGCCAGGTCGTCGTCGTCGGTTACCATCCAGCTCCGCTTGGTGTCCCCCTCCTCCTCCCCGTCCACGCCCAGCAGCAGGGCCGGCTCGTCGTTGGCCTCCTCCAGACCGTCCATGGGGATGTTGTCACAGCCCACTTCCTCGATGCACGCAGTGCACATGCGGTAGCGCCTCGTGCCCTCGCACACCACATGCCCCGTCTCCTCTGTCACCTGACACTTGCATTTCCTGCACACCAGCTTCCTGGCTTGATGGATCTGTGGAGAAGACAGTGTTTAATGCAGATGTGTTATATTACAGCTTGTGTTATTGTAGTTCTGTGTAGTAGCTTCACTTCCTGGTTGTTATTGCACCCACCGTCTCGAAATGGCTGCGGAGGTGCTCAAGGCGGGTGAAGCGTTTGTTGCAGGCCTGGCAGGGGTACGGCCTCTCCCCAGTGTGACAACGCAAGTGACGCTTCAGGTCAGCCTTCCTCTTCACAGTGTGGGTGCAAAAGGGGCATTTGAAGCGCATGATGGGGTTGGAGTCTGCAATGAGGAAGTGAAGCTGTTCACACATCTGTTATTTGTTTCCTATTAATCACTGTCTACACGAGGTACGTTTCAGGGTCACACTTGTGCATTTTTGCTCATGGTGTAATTCTCAAAAAGGTAAATAAATGAACCATTCTCCATTTTATAGCCTCATGCACAACTCACCTTTGTTAAAGTGTCCAATAACACCGACAATCTGTGGTAGAGTTGCGTACAGCTCCTCTGCCTTTTCAGCCTTTTTTGTCCTCGCCTCCTGAAGGTCCAAATCTTCGTGTTGATGTGAGCGGTTGCTGTTGGGCGCCCTCCTCTTCGTCCCTCCTTTCCCTCGCCGGCGCTCTGATCCGGGTAGTGTGTACAGAGGGTCCTGAGGGTCCTGCAGATCCTCAGCCTCTGCACTGAGCTCATTAGCAGGGCTGCTTGGGTTTGTCTTTATAGCTGAGGCTGAAGATTCCAGGTCTGGATCTTTCCCAATGAAGCTGGACTGGGATCTGGAATTGTCCCTGGTCCAAAGTGCAGGTGGTGGACTGACCGAACAGGGGCCCTGCTGCTGCTGCTCTGTGGTCTCTTCTCCTCCCCCACTGGTAAAGCTGCAAGTCTCAGACAAGCTGAGGCAGCGGTCACTGTCTTCATCTTTCATACTGATGTCCAGGGAGGACTTGATGAAGTTCTTGCAGTAGCTGATGACATTGTTCATCTGCAAGTAGCTGGCTGCAGACATCACCTCGATTACGTTGTGACTAGAGAGATCCAGCTGGCCGGAGTAGATGAAATCTAGGATTACAGTGAAGGTCTCGGGGCTGAAGACGTCGAAGGTGGCACTGATGACGGAGTCCGACAGCCCGTCGGGCCCCTGGGACAGCAACATGCGGAAGTAGCCGCTGCTGGCGAACAAGACGTTGCGGTGGGCCCTGAAGAGCTGGCCCTCCACCAGCACACTGCAGTCGCAGAACAGCTCCTGACGCCGCTGCTGGTTGAGCTGCTTCAGCAGGTTGCTTTGGTGAGCCACTGTGATGTCGGCGGTGTTGAACCACCTCTGAGGCTGCCTGCAGGAGACAACATGACAGCACTCTCACTGGCTGTGTGCAACAGGCACTGAGCTGTTCTGCTCGAAAATAATTAACCGTACGTGCCTCCTTACTGAAACTGAGACACGTCCATCTTGATTCTGAATTTCCAAGAATATAATTTGTATAATTTGTATTTTACATATTTAAGTGTAGTTGGTTAAAGTACCTCTCCCTGAAAATTCCAAAAAATGCCTTTAGAACACAGTACTGTGAGGCAACACTGAGACACGCCAGCCACCAACAACCCCCACCCCACTGCCACACACAAAGATATCATACACACACACCAATTAGCTTAGGAAAGCTAACTAGGTTTCATCGGACTCCAGTAGCAGTACACACACGTTTGCAACATAAATGTCGTGTGAAGACGAAAAGACTCAGCTCCTGAGCATCCTGATGGCTGGTTTGTGTAAGGGATAGTTGAGGAGCAGGAGAGGATGGGGGACATCTATGAATCGAGACGTTGTGGTGGTGTACAGGTTTAGTTTCAGCATAGATTTAAAATGAGCCCAGCTTTCCTGATTCCCACTCACAAGCGGTCGCTGATGGTGGGGGCCGCCCACCTTTGATTAGAGGGTGACACTTCTAATACGCAATGGAGGCAAAAATGAAAAAAACAAAAAGAAATCAAATATCTCCCGATGAAAAGCTTTGGAATACAAGTAGAAGACTCCGACAAAGATGTCGAGAGAGTTTGTGGTGACAAAAGCTGACGGGAGGGTCAGTGTGTTGTAAAGAAAATCACGGGATCTCCGCAGCAGAGTTAATACGTCACTTCCTGCCTTTGCCTGTTGCACCCGGCTGCTCCACCTCTCACCTGAATAATGCATGTTGCTGTTGTCAATGAGTCTGCGCAGAGAACCTCCCACTCCGGATCCAATTATCCGGACTTTACCTGCCCTGCAAGCTCCAAGAAGGTTTTATACAATAGGGGGCATTATGAGCCAAGTTCAACCCCTTAAAAAATGGGATATTAAAACCAACATTATAATTAGCATCTATCATGGAACGGTCATATAATATCGATTACAGCTCAAAAATAACATTTAATTGCGCAGTATCTCTTTAATGAAGGGAATGCTGCCCCCTAGGGACACCTGACCGTGTGACTGTCTCCTTACCTTGGTGAATATTATGCTACAAATCCCAAATATTATTTGCAGGTCATTTAAAAAAAAAACCACAACATTCCATTGGTTTATATAGTGGTTCTTAAACTTTTGCACTTCAAGGATGAAGTGATCCCCATTTAATATTTGTTTTTGCTTTTCGACGTTTCAACATTCTGTCAGTGTATTACTGATGGATGGTAATATGGTGAAAACACATTCCCATGCGACCCCTCAAGGACCCTTGGGGGTCCCCGGACCCCACTTTGAGGACCCCTGGATGGATCTATCAATTATCATGTGTCTTTGTCCCTGCACTGGATCAGCCCCAGCTCCCGCCCACAGGAGATCCTTCGCTGTGATTGGCTGCACGAGCCTTCAGATAAAAATCCTCCTCTAATAGGGCTACACCCGACTCCAGTCAGAGAGCATCGGGTGACAAAACCCAACAACCACACCTGAGGAGGGGGATGAGACCCCCGCTGTCTGCACCACATCCCACCGGTGAGGAGAGGACAGCAATCACTGATAAATAATACACTATAATGATCAATATACCACAACCTCGTTTTGCAGAATACTTTTTCTTTCTCTATATTATTCTACTTCTCCATCCTCCTGAATTACACGCTTTCATTTTTAATTATGCGATGTTTGCTGACGAGGCTCCGCAGCAGCAGCGCCCGATTACAACCCACGATGCAACGCCCGGCCGCCGGAGACTCTTCCCCCACTGCTCCCCATGTCACACGGAGCAGGACTGTGTAATATCTTTCCCTGAGAAATCCTCCGCTTCACACACACACAGACACACACTCACACACCAGTCGACCTACAAAAGCCACAGTGCTGCAGTCCTGCGAGAGAGAAAAGCGGGCAGCGGCGCACCGGAGCAGCCCAGTCTGTCCTGGAGCGACGCCCACTTCAGGCTCCAGCCACCGCACACAATAGGGGAAAAAAATTAGAAATAAAATAGCCACAAACCTCCAGCAACTGCTCATGCTGCGAGCTGATAACAAATGTGTATGTGCAGCGCGGATAGGGGCGGGAGGAGACGCGCTAATACGCCCGTTTTCAACACCGCCACCCCGCACTCCTCGCCGGAGGTCCGGTCGGAGCGCAGCGAGCAGCGGGGAGGATTCGCCTCGGCTGCCCAAACCCAGCGTCTCCTTCCCAGGCGTGAGGTGTCGGCAGGACCCGCTTACGCCCCACGCCGTGGTAACCACCCTCCCTCCAGACAAAATCCATCGATACTCACTGGTGACTCGATTCACCCGGCGCCCGATAGAGTCTACTCGCCCCCAAGTCTGCCACCATATCCATGGTTTTTAAAATGTATTCCCTCTGCCTTTCGTTTCCCTGCTCCTCTTTTTTTTTTCTCGTCCAGGGTCCAGTCAGCCACTTCCTGCTCAGCCCTAAAGACCGAAACCCGGTTAGAGCGAATGGAGCTCTGTGCTGACGTGGGTGTTTATTAACTGGGTGCCCGAGGGTTCAAGGAGCCATTTAAAGCCCCAGTGCCCCGTTTCTATGTAGACCACTGTATGAACAGTTAATGTTGAATAATCCACTGTTCTAATATGAGGATTATTCATACAGCAGTCCTGCAGGGATTTACAAGTGATACTGAATTTAAACTCATTTAATCGTTCTGGTAGATGTATTTATTATACTGGGACTTTCCTAAAAAAGCCTGTGATGTCCCTGTGTTGCTCACTAGAGTGGCCCTGAAGTGCATATCACTACACTAAGGCAAATAAAATGCAATGGCAAGTATAAGAAAACACAACAGCAAAGAAGATAAGTGTTGGGAAAACCCAATGGCAAATATGTGAAAATGCTACAGCAAATAGGAACAACATAACGGCACGAGTAGAAAATGCTGCAGCACTTAAGAAAACACAAGGACAAATCACAACAGCAAACAAGAAAACAATGGCAAATGAGAAAGCACAACTCCAAGGATAAGAAAACCCAATGGCAAAGAATACAACATAATGGTAAATAATAAAAAAAACTACAAATAATTTATCCCAACGGCAAGTATAAGACAATACAGTGGCTCGTACTAAAAAAACACAACGGTTAATAAGAAAACACAACTGCAAGTATAAGAAAACATAACTTTATATAAGAAAACACAAAACCAAATCACAAAGCACAACATAAGATAAGAAAACCTATAAATCACATGGACAGCGTGTCCATCCAATCAGCGAAGAGCCTCGTCGGTAGCAGGTCCCGCCTCTTTTGTCAGAAGTTAAACCTGTGTTTTGATTTGCACTTTTCAGGGCCACTGAACCTTACAGCTGTTTTATTATATGTAAAGGTGAGAGAGGCTTATTCCAGAATGTTCTCATGGTTGGGTTGTGTCTCTGAATCCTGTTTTATTCTCAATGTGGTAAAACCCTGTTCCAGTCAATCAATGTTAATTAAAACTCACTTCACAATCATCATCACAGTTTCATGATGGAGTGGAATGAAAGGCTTCTGTGTCTCCAGTAAGAAAATTAATTTATTCTTTACTGTTATGACTAAAAGATCAAAACAACATTGTGGAAACTGAAAGGCGTTTGTGCACAATCATTTTAAAATTAGATGATGGTTAATTAAGAGCGGAGAGGAAATGAAACGTAAAGCATAAAGCTTTCAGTTCCTCCTGAGGTCACATCATGTGTTTTATGAGATATCCCAAAAAAATTAAATGAAAACGTCGATTGATTCAGAAGAGGACTCGAAGACATTTAACATCAGGCGATGCAGGCGTATCAAGACGCTGGGCCTTTTGAAAATCCTGTGGGGTTCATGGACTGCCAGCGCCACAGATCCTCACCTGTAGGAAAACATCACAGCATAATGGGGGAATTTTCTTCAATGAGATAAATCAATACATTTACATGCAATTTTCAGAGGAGGAGGATCAGATGAAATAAAAAAGTGCATTTACACATTCGCTCCAGGTCAAATTCAGCCTTCCAGCTGAGCTCCTTCTCAGCCAGACAAGGGTCAGCGTAGCAGGATGCAATGTCTCCTCCTCTACGAGGGGCGATCTCATATGAAATCTACAGAGAGGACAAATTAAAAAAACAGATTGGTTTAGCCTGAATAGAAGGAAACATAAATTGAGAAGAGGCCATGCATAGTCAAATCACTCACCTCTTTCCCTGAGGCCTTCTCCACGGCTTTCACCATCTGGAGCACAGAGTAGCCCCTTCCTGTTCCGAGGTTGTAAACCTTCAGACACGTACACAATGATGCACAAATGCCAGTAAATACTTTGAGTGTGTACACACAGGCAGAAAGTGTGTATTTCAAACGTACCTTGCACCCACAGTCTTCCCTCAGCTTCTTCAGAGCTGCAATGTGTCCCTTTGCCAGATCTACGACGTGAATATAATCTCTCACACCTACAGAGAGACATAAACAACTTATTTAAGATAGGGCCGGTATTCCTGGAGAAGCTAGCAAGAGCAAGCTACAACAATGCAACCGATACTTCAAGCCACAATTTAATCTGTGCACGATCTTTTTCATCACCTGTCCCATCGAGTGTGTCATAGTCGTTTCCAAATACGTTGAGGCACTTCCTTCTCCCAATGGCAACCTTTGAGGAGGATAATAAAGGTAATTCAAACCAGGTAAAATCATCCAACAGATCCAACTAGAACACATGGCGGAGTAGACCAGTCCCTCAGATGTGGCCGTGTATTTCATCTACCTGAGCAACATATGGCAGCAGGTTGTTGGGGATACCCTGAGGGTCTTCTCCTATCACGCCGGAGGAATGAGCTCCAATTGGGTTAAAATAACGCAGCAGCACTGCATTCCATTCCTGCACACACAGAGGCAACGATGAGACAGCTCGCATATGTGTGTGTAAATCCATGAAACATTTCCACTTCCTGGATCCATACCTTCTCCGCCTTACAGTGGTCCTTGATCATCTCCTCGATGAAGTACTTGGTCTTGCCGTAGGGGTTGGTGCAGCCGCCCACGGGGTGCTGCTCGTCGATGGGCAGGTACTGGGGGTCACCGTACACTGTGGCCGAGCTGCTGAAGACCAGATTGCGCACCCTGTGAGCCTGCATCACCTGGGTAACATGCAGATGCACACAGCACACACAAACACAGCACACACGCACAGTCAGCAGCCAGTAAGCGTACTATGCACATACAACTCAGGAGATCCACACACAGTGGTGAAGGGTGCAGCGTTCAAATGATCCAGCTCAAACTCAAAAGCCCACACACACTGTCGTGCACTCGGAACACAAAGACGATGATCATAGCAATTAATGATCATCTCAAAGTGAGGATTGACATGAAGGCAATAGAACTGACCTCCATCAGGTTCATGGAGGCGGTGAGGTTGACTCTGTAGTAACGTAGCGGCTGCTCCACTGACTCCCCGACGGCCTTCAGACCAGCAAAGTGCATCACGGCACTGAACGCATGCTGAAAAAAACAAACATGTGAGGGCTGGGGGCAGTGTGGAAGGACGCTATGGGTAATATGAAAATATGACATTATGTCATTCTTCCTATTTTAAAGGCTATTTGAGAAAGTATGAAGGCCATCAAGGACATTCATCAGTATTTCATTTGAGTTTTAGGTCACAATACATTACCAAGAATAAAATCTGAAAAACACATAATATTATGTAGTAACAGGAGTACACATTTGAAATTAAGTATAGTTGACCCTAATTTCAAAAATTTGTGAAAGAGAGATTTATCATTTCCCAGAAGCCACGTTGATCTGACCTAGAATCAAAACTTGCAAACATGCGTCAATGACTAAAGTCATTTTAAATTATTATGATTACTTCAAAAATAGTAATACTAAAAAAAAAAGTAATACATTTAGTTATTGTTTTAACTCTAATAGAATTCATAAATCAGCTTTGTGGACATTCTCACCTTTTTGAAGAGTTGTTCCAAACCAGGTCGATCCAGGAGGTCGAGTTCATGAAACTCGATGCTGGTCCCCAAAAGCTTCTGTATCCTGTGTATGCTCTCTGGCACATCCCCTTCTCCACCATTCAGAACACACACACACACACAGGACACACAGACACACACAGACACACACAGACACACACAGACACACACAGACACATAGACACACAGACACACACAGACACACACAGACACACACAGACCAAATATGATTATTGCTGCACTAAACAAACAAACTTGGAACACTTACCAAGTTTACGACGACAAACGCAGGGAGCTCACCTCTGACGGCGTTACTGAAGTTATCTATTACGACCGGCTGGAATCCTGCTTGAATCAGCTCCACCACGCAGTGACTGCCAATGTAGCCCCCTCCACCTGTGACCAGCACCTTCTCTGCCATCGTCTGTACCTGTCAAATACAAATCACATTATTCATTTACTGAGACATTCAGCACACACTTACACCTGCAGGACAACACTATCACCTCCACTGTGCTTTTGAAATCAACTTAACAACAGTTTTATGTTGTTAAAATAACTATATACAAAGATATATATACTTAATGCAATTAAATATTTTGTTTATAAAAAACTCAATAACGGATATCATCTTTGCAACGTTCAATATTACTTAATTTGGAAAGTAATTTCAGATGAGGACTTGAAAGGAAAGAATAAAAAGTATTGAACTAAAAAAGAAGGTCAGTAATAAAAAGAATATTTAAACATAAATGAAAACTGTGATCAATGGGCTAGAATGTGTCATATGTAACCACATTAACTTTTCTGCCATGGGAGATTCAGATGTTTCTTAGTATCGAAAGTTTACTTTTTGACTTCCTTCCAAAATGGGGATGATTTCACAACATGTGTGTGTACACAAATCCAGCCCTTCATTGACATCCGTGCTGTGGTTGTTAAATTGTGAAGACGCAGGTGGACTTGAGGGCACAATCTTTAACCAAGTCTGCAAACAAAACAGCAGGATTTCCTTGTGTCTGAGCTCCTGTGACCACACCTGGATACATGACCCAGCCATGTCTGTTGCACGTCAGCAGGTCCAACTAGTCTGACAACACAAAAGTACTGCTCATTCAAAACTACTTACTGTAGTAAGCTATCATCATTAATGACGTTTTTTTAGATGTGCTTTCTCCTTGTTCTTATGGCTATTTTTTATGAAGTTTTATTTGTCTATCTTCGTCTTGTTTTTAATGTTTTTCATATTATCTGCTTAACTTTATTTTTCGATTTTACTTGTAATACACCTCGTAACTGTGTTGTATTATTATTATTATCTTAAAGGGAGCACACACTGTGATCTTTACAGACTCCACATAAGCATCAACTACTTATTCCAGTACAACTACAGCCAGGAACACAGCACGGGCTGATACTGAATGCTGACTGGAGGAAACAGTGGCAGCCTGTCAGATGTTCATGTCACTGCACTGTTTCCCTCTGAGACATACTGTGGCCAACTAACTACCCGGAGATGTTTGGATCATTGCTGAGATAATGTACACACTGCATCGTTTTCATTTCGACCACAAACCAAAGCAGCCTGACCCTGGAGTCTCATTCAGGAGGAACAGATAGGACGTGTGTCATCAGCCTGAACTGAAATCAATACTTACAAAGTGTGAGCAGTAGTTTCCGGGACAGTGTCCAGTTCGACCCAGTGAGGAGGATGTAGGAGAGTGTGTATGTGTCAGCTCGTGAAGTTTCTCCTCTCTGCCTCTGACAGGTCTCTACTTCCTGTTCGACGTGGAACGGACTCAAGTAAATGATTAACGCACAACTTCCTGGACTTGCCCTTTCAAAGTAAGACTCTAGGTGTTGCTAAACTCCTATAATTCAACATCAAATTCATAATGATGAATATCATGAACAATTCAAATGATCAGTTAGTTGTAAGACACGATATTGGGTGTCCATACGAGTCGATGAGCTTGTGTCGATCTTTGTATGGTTTAATATTTACGTTTTATTTTGAAGGTAGAAACGGATTCAACTTCTGTAAAGTCTGTGACGTGCTGCGTGATCGTCTCACATACCATGACGTCAGGCGGCGCTGTGGTGAAGCCGCACCCCTGACCATTCAAACAGAGGAGTGTTTGTACAGAGTCCACTCCGTGTGTGTGTGTGTGTGTGTGTGTGTGTGTGTGTGT